GGCCCTCTCACCCACCACACACACACACACACACACACACACATACACACACAGCCCTGAAGGGCCCCAGGGAGGCCCATGGAGCAGTTTTAAATACTAATATGAAGGGATGGATAGGCCAGGCCATGGGACCTGCCCAGAGCCACGGTAATGGTCCTGTATTAACTTTTTTCTACTTTTCTGTATTCTTAACACTCTGGCATCTGGGGCTCACTGACCATGGGGACACTGCCCTTCCCAGGGCTAGCAAAGTCCTGGAAACAGCAAACAACTCCCCTCTGAGCACACCTCTCGAATTCAGCCAACCTTTTACGTGCAGAGCTTTACCCCAACCACCTCCTTTACCAGGCTCTTACACTCCGGGCCAGTATCCCCCTGTCCCCATCATCCCTGGGCCACGTATCAGACAACAAGGGGCAGCCGCTATGCCCCAGGGCCTGTCAAAAGTGTTCCAACTCGCTGATCATCAACCCACCTGCCCCGTACCCTGTCTGGCCTGTTCCCTCCCATAAAAACCACAATAAGTCTTCCGCCTACACTTTCCCCTCACTCCTGCTGCCGCCCCCTGAGGACTCTGGTGCTTCCCCAGGTGGCCGCCCCACAGAAAGGTCCCTCTTCCTGGGAACTCTAAGTAACAAACTCATTTCACCAGCAGTCCTCTCCTGGTCTGCTGGCCTCACCACACTTGGAAAATGATAAAACCTACATTTATATAACAGACTCACTCTAGAAGCAAACGTTATCCCCAGAGACCTTAAAATTTGGATCAGAAAATGCACATCCAGAGGAGGCCACAATTTTGGAAAGAGCCTGACCAGGGAGGCACCTCCTGGATGATTTTCAAGTGTGGGTGGAGAAGGGACCAAAGATGAGGGAGGAAGGGAGGAGGGTGGCCCAGAGCCAGGGAAAAGAGAGGACAGGTCAGTAGGAAGATCCTGGCAAGAAGACAGGCAGTAGAGAGGTACCAAGGTGAGTGTGGCTTTGGGAAGGGACAGAAAGAAAACGGGACGGAGGCACGGGACCCGGGTAGGCAGCATCAGGCAGGCTGGGGCGAGCCTCAGCCATCCAGCTCCTCCTTGACCGTGATGTGCAGGGGGCAAATGCGCAGTGGCTCCGGAGGCCCGTCTCCCCGCGAGCCGCCCAGGTAGAAGTAGGGCCGCACCTCTCCGAAGCGGGCATGGAAGGTGTACAGGTGACAGTGGCGCTCTGCGTCGTAGAAGGACAGCTCGCCCTCCTCGCACTCCAGCTCCACGCGCAGGCGGCGCGGAATGGCGGGGACCAGAGGCGGCGTGGCGGGGTCTGACGTCACGCAGTGGTCCCCATCCACGCCCTGCGTGCGGCACACGTACCAGAAGCCCGAGCGCGTGTCGTGGTAGCAGCTGTGCGAGTGGCCCTCGGCGCCCGCGTCCTGGCGTGTGCGCACCACCCCCACGCGCCAGCTCGGCAGCGTCCCCAGGTCCACCTCCCAGGCGTGCGAGCCCTGCGACAGGACGCAGGAGCCCAGCAGGCAGGGCGCCGACGAGAAGCGCTCCGGGTTCTCCACCTGCACCCGGTAGCCGTGGTTGGTGACGCTGGTGAGGTCCTCGGACACGGAGAGCCAGCCGGCCGCGGTGTTGGGATCAAAGCTGAAAGGCACTGGGCGCAGAGCAGGAAGAAAGTGGGGAAGGTCGGCAAACCTGCCACCCCGCCCGGCTGCCACACCGGTGGATGCCTTCCGTCCCCCGTAACTGGCAGACTATGTCCCACCGGGACCCAGTGCACGGAGCAGGCTGCTCTGGGCTGAGGAGGGGTGTTGTCAGGGGTTAAAATATGCCCTGCAAAAAAACTATGCTGGAGTCTACATCCCCAGTACCTTAGGAGGTGACGTTATTTGAGAATAGGATGGTTGCAGACGTAATTATTTAAGATGAGATCAGACCAGAGTAGAGAGGGCCCTGAATCCAGTGACTGTTGTCCTTACCAAAAGAGAGAGAAATAAACACATACGCTGGGAAAGCCCTGTGATGCTGGAAGCACAGATCAAAGCGCTTCAGCTGCCAGCAAGGTCAGCGGTGAACACCAGAAGTCAGGAAGAGGCAGAGCAGGAGCCTCCCCTCCAGGTGTCAGAGGGAGCATGGCCCTGCCAATGTCCTGGCTTTGGATATCTAGCCTCCAGAAGTGAGAAAAAATTTGTCATTTTAAAGCATTCAGTCTCTGGTCCTTTGTTACAACAGACACAGGAAGCCATGCAGGCAGGAATCCGGATGCACACATGATGCCTGTGACATCTTAGAAAAGCTTGTAACGTGCCCCTGGGTCACTGACATTTCTCCCTGTAAAATCATGTCTCTGTTTGGGCTCCTACTACAAAAGTATCAGAGACTGGGTGGTTTAAATGACAGAACTGTACTTCTCACAGTTCTGGAGGCTGGAAGGCCGAGATCAGGGTGCCAGTGTGCTCAGGTTCTGGTGAGAGCTCTCCTTTTGGTTTAGAGATGCTCACCTTCTTGCTGTGTCCTCACACTAGGGAGGAAGAGAGAGAGGAAGCCAGCTCTCTATGTCTCTTCCTAAAAGGGCACTAATTCCATCAGAGGGCCCCATCCTTGTGACCTCTTCTAACCCTAATCACCTCCCAAAGGCCCAGCCTTCAAATTCCAATGCATGGAGGTTAGAGGATTGGGGGGGGGGGGAACAACAACATAAACATTCAGTCCACAGCACATGACATAGTGACTTGTGTGGGCTGCAATCACCTTGGGAGAGGCAACTCTGAACTGAGGGGCTCTTTCATTATATACAAAATATGGTTCTAGGGGGGAAGATAAAGTTTGGTGGTAGAGAGCGTGCTTAGAGTGCACGAGGTCGTGGGTTCAATCCCCAGTACCTCCATTATAAATAAATAAACCTAATTACCTTCCCCTCTCTGCTAAAATAAAGTAAAAATAAAATAGTTGAACAAAAAAATTACTAAAAAAAAAATAAATAAAAATATACGGTTCTGAATAGAGAGAGAAGTTAGTTTCCTTTTTCTGAAGAGGTAGCCTAGTGTCAGGACCCAACAAGGAGGGAGTTCTGCCAGGAGAGGTTTGAGCAGTGGAGGGAGGAGTGGAACAGGGCACAGAGACCCACGTGAAAGAGGCTGGAGAAGGAACAGTGGGGGGATGTGGGGAGGAGGTCGATGGGGTGGGAAGCTGGAAGGAATGGGTTCAGTGGACTCTCTGCTTAGCACGAAGCCCTCCCCTGACTCTCAGACCTGCCCACGCCCCCACTCACCAGATTCGACACACATGACCATCTTCCTCCAGACGCGGTACTGCAGGGAGTCCAGGTACTTGCAGACGTCGATGAGCATGCCGGGCTGCACGGGCTCCGGCTCCATCGTGCAGAAGAGGCTGGGAAAGAAGAATTGGGCCTGGTGGGCAGGGCCAGGGCCATGCATCCTGGGCCAAACTGGGTCAGCTTGAAACAGGATTCCTTGCCTCAGGCCTATACCCACTGGTTGCCTTACCCAAGACAAACCTGGACTGGGCTCTGACAGGAGATGAATCAGAAGCCAACTGGGCGGTTCACACCCCTTCAGAATTCAGCACTCGGGCCCATCCTGCCCCCACTGGGATAAATATAAATAGGAGGTTCTCAGACATGGTTCCCATCCACGTGGGCAGAAATCACACTGTGCATCAGCTCAGAGGATATCTGAGTCAGTAGACACCTCTAGTCTTACAGTCGGAAGGTATCATTGGCCTTTGCTTGAATACCTCCAGGGACAGGGAACTCACTACTGCCCCAAGCACTCTCTTCCATCTTTGCACAGCTCTGACTGGGGCAGTTTTTCCTTATTCATCCCTGTGAGCCCAACAACCATTCACACAAACCAGTATGTCCTGAGGCTCTCAGAGGGAGGGGGCTGACAAGAAATGAGCTTAAAGGTTGGGCCAACCCCCAGAGAACTAGAAGCCCCAGGCAGGATGGCACTTTCTCTCCCCATGTAGTGGAAGATCATGTTCTACACTCAGGAAAGCAACACTGCATCAGCGCAAATCAGAAGTGGATGCCTTGTAGAGGGCTCTCCACCTGGCCGGTCCCAGCGCTCCCTCGGCAGGGCACCCAGCTCGCCTCACTGCCTGCCCGGCCCTGGAGCCACCTGAGTTTGCAGCCCTGGTATTTCTACCTCTTCATCCTCTCCTCTCCTCCAGCCTTGTCAACTTACCGGCGTTTTCGGCTCTTATGTTTCTGAAAGATAAAAAACAGAGACACAAACATAGACACAGAGAAAACATAAATTTCTGACCTCCAAAGGAGTCAAACATCCCGTGTTCATGGATCAGACGATCTAATATTGTTAAGATGGCAATAACCCCTTCCCCAAACTGATCTACAAATTAAATGCAATTCCTATTAAAATTACAGCTGGCTTATTTGCAGAAACTGATACACTGATCCTAAAATTCATATGGAAGGTCAAGGGACCCAGAATAGCCAAAATAATCTCGGAAAAAAAGAACTAAGTTGGTGGCTCACACTTCCAGACTTCATAACTTATTAGAAGCAATAGTAATCAAGACAGTGTGGTACAAACATAAGGACAGACATACAGATCAATGCTCATTGAAAGTCTAGCAATAATACAAGATCTAATGGTAGCTCACAGAGAAAAAAAATGTGACAATGAATATATATATAGTTCACGTATAACTGAAAAATTGTGCTGAACACTGGAATTTGACACAACATTGTAAAATGATTATAAATCAATAAAAAATGTTAAAAAAAAGACAGAAAGTCTAGAAATAAACCCTCATGTGCACTATCATTTGTTTGTCAGCAAGGGTGCCAAGACCATTCCATGGGAAAAGAATGGTCTTCAAAAAATGGTGCTGGGACAACTGGGTATCTACATGCAAAAGAATGAAGCTGGATTTCCTAACTCCCACCATACACAAAAATTAATTCAAAATAGACCAAAGACGTAAATGCAGAGATAAAACTACAAACGCATGACCTTGAGTCATGCATGAGATACAACACCAAGCACAAGAAGCAAAAGAAACATAGACAGAAAGAACTTCATGAAAATGGAAAAGTTTTGTGCATCGAAGGAAGTCCTCAAGAAAGTGAAAAGATAACCCACAGAATGGGAGAAAATATTTCTAAATCATGTATCTGATAAAGGTCTAGTAAGCGTATTATATAAAAACACAATTCAACAACCAAAAAGTAAGCAACTCAAGTTTTAAAATGGGCAAAGGACCTGAATGTACATTCCCCCAAAGAAGATATACAAATGGCTAACAGGTACATAAAAACATCAGTAGCCATCAGGGAGATGCAAATCAAAACCACAATGAGATACCATTTTGCACCCATTACAACAGCTATGATCAAAAAAAGAAGGTAAGTGTTGTCCAGGATGTGGAGAAACCGCAATCCATATACACTGCTCAGGGGAATGTAAATGGTGCCTTGTTAGAAAAACAGGCAGTTCTTCGAACAGTTAAACCGAGTCACCATATGATCCAGCAAATCTCCTCCCAGGTACATCCCCAAGAGAAATGAAAACACGTTCACACAAAAACTTCTGCATGAATATTTACGGCAGTATTATTTATATTAGCTAAAAGTGGAACCACCCAAATGTCCACCAATGGATGAATGGATAAAACAAACATAGTATATCGATCCACACAATGGACTATTCTCCAGCCATTACTGGTACATGCCACAACATGGATGAAGTTTCAAAACATTACGGTAAGTGAAAGAAGCCAGTCGCAAAAGGCTATGTATTGTATAATTCCACTTATGTGAAATGTCAAAATAAGCAAATCTATAGAGACAGAAAGTAGATTATCAATCGGTCAGAGCTGGTGGGGAGGGTAGCTAGAGGGTACAGGGTTTCTGTTTGTGAAGATGATAACATTCTAACATGGATTGTGGTGATGGTTGCACAATTCTGTGAATACACTAAAAGCCACTGAATTTACATTTTAAAAAATGGAATTACATGGTATGCAAATTATATCTCAGTTAAGCCGTTTTATATATCTCACAAAACCATCCCTGAAAGCACACTGGATACTGGGCAAGATTTCAATCTTTAGAACCCACCAAATAATTTATTACTTAGGGGCATTTTAGAGACATCTTAGTCCAAAGCTTTGTATGAGGCTGAGAACCCACAAAGGTCCCCAGCCAGGATGTGACATCCTGCCTGAATGGAGGATGTCCCTGTCCCCCTACTCTGCTCAGCAAAGACTCTCCTTTCAAAACAGCGAGTTCAGCTGTTCTCCAAGTAAAGGAGATACCTGGCCATTCTGATTTTCAAACTAGCTTTCAAGTTACAGAAACTTTATATAAAGACCCAGTAGGATGGAGGGTATAGCTCAGTGGTAGGGCACATGCTTAGCATGCACGAGGTCCTGGGTTCAATCTCCAGTACCTTCATTAAAATAAATAAGTAATAAATAAACCCGATTACTCCCCCTCCAGCAAAGTAAAACAAACAAACGCAAACAAACAGTGATTCACAGGAAGGAAAAGAGGAGCGGTGAAATCAATAAAAGGAAGAAAAGGAAATAAACTCAGTATTTTTTTAAAAGAAAGAATGGAGTCATCCTTTTCTTAAGACAATAAGAGAATACCAAAATATCATATTCAAATCAAAAATTTAAATAATTGCATAATTCTTAAAATAGTTCATTTTGTAGTCTTCAAAAAAAAAAAATCTCACAGCCCTGATCTAATCAGGAGAACACTCTACAGGACACCCGGCCGTACTCCCCAAGACTGCCAAGGTCATGAAAGACAGGGAAAGACTAAGAAGCCATCACAGAGCAGAGGGGACTAGGAGGCCCAACAGCCACACGCAATGCGGGACCTTGGACTGGATCCTGGGGCGGAGAGAGGACGTGAGGGAAGGCGCGGAGAAATCAACACAGGCTGGACCTTCGGTAACAACAGTGAGCCAGTGTCTGTTTCCTAGTCGGGACAACTGTGGCACCCGGCGACGTAAGGTGTTAACAGGGGAAACCGGCGCAGAGGTGCACGGGAGCACACGCTGCCATCCTCGCAACTTTTCCATAAATCTAAAAGTAGTCCCAAATGAAAGGTTTATCTAAAAAGTACTCCACTGTATTAAGATGGAGAAAGAGAGTGAGGAAGAGGAAGGGTAAGAGGAAGGGAGGGGGAGGAGGACGGCAGAGAGGCAGAGAGGGAGGAAGGACTCCGATTAGAATCAGTTCTTCCGCCTCCCGCCCCAGGCGGAGCACCTCCTCCCGAGGCTCCTCCAACCAGGTGTCCGGAAGCACGGAAGGCGGGGCTCCCCGCTGGCCCCCCAAACGTCTGGGCCCTGCCATCGAGTCCAGACGTCGAGGTCCTCACCATGAGAAAAGAGACGTCATCCTCCTTCATCTCCATCTGCAGGCGCTCGATCTCGTGCGCCAGAGCCTCGGTGTCCTCCGCGAGCTGCTTCATCTTCTCCTCGGCCAGAAGCTGCTTCTGCCTGGCCTCCTCGGCCATGGCGTCCAGGATGGCCTGCTCCTCCACCCTCAGGAACTCGCGGAGTTTGTCGAACTCCTGCCGGATCCGCCCTTCCAGCCAGGTAGCCTCCACCTGCAGCAGACAGCCGGCGGGAACCTCAGCCATCGCCGAGCCCAGTGGCTCCCAGATTTTTAGCAAAGGAGCTCTATTTGCAAAAGGAATCACACGTGGAACCTCAACAGATGCAATATAGATGCAGCTTTCGTAGCATGAATTTATAAATTTAAATTTAAAGTCAGTCAAACAGCACAGTGAGGTTGTTTTGGTAAATCAACGAAATAAAATCACTGCTTACGGATGACAACTATAGTCCTGTAACTTCCTCCACATACAGTATTCTGTACCCGGTTAGACTGCAATCGTGAGGGAAATACTGGCTCACAGAAATGAACTGTTGCAAATAGCAATGATTTTTAAAAATGATTTGCCTTCCAATTTTAGGACTTCAAATTTGTCTGATAGGCTTACCAAAAATAATAGTAGGAAGGATTTATTTTAAAACTGAATCAGTAATATGCACACTCCTAATCATAGCTACAAAAAGCATTTAAAATAATAGTTAAACAATGTCATAAATATACTCAAAGGAAAAGCAGAGAAGTATTTCTTATCTTGGGATGAGAAAGACCTTTCTTACCATGATGTGAAATTGAGAAGCCTCAAAGAGTGAGATAATTGGAAACATGAAAAAGTAAGAAGTTTTGAATGGCAAGAGACTACTAATAAAGTTAAATATATAAATACAATTCCAGGATAACTATTGGAAAAATAACTCGAATTGTGTGGTCCAGCAACAGCAGGTTAGTAACTCACATCTTTGGACTGAATATTTAATGTATGTTTATGGCTCTGACAATATGATGGCAAAGTGACTCACTGTAAAAGGAGAAATGACCCAAAAGAGGAGAAAACGGTTTCTTAAAAAAGAAATGACAAACTAGGGAAAATATGTCCTATGAAAAAACATGTGACAGGTTGTTATTAGTCTTCATCTACGAAGCGCTCTTATGAATCCACTAGGAGTAAAGACAAAAATTCCAAGACAAAGAATGTGAACTGGGATTCACAAGAAAAATGATCGATTATAAGAACAAAAAGAGAGGAAACAAGTGAGAGGTCCATCAACAAGGAGGTAAACAAATTGTAGTGTATGTTGTAAGCAGAGACAGCAGGTGAAATAATGAGCTAGAATTAAATGTCATATAGATGTACATGACGTGATATCTCTCATCTACCTGCTGTAATATGGGTGAAAAAGACAAGCTGTGGAATGGCAGGTAGAATCGGGTTTGAAAATACACATAATAATGTTGTTTGTTATGTATGGGTACATATATGTGTTGCAAGTCTAAAATGACCAACAGAAATAAACATCACCGTGAGCACGAAAAAAAAAGAAATGCAAATGGCTATGACACTTGTAAAAGGACGTACAAATTTACTAATAACCAAGGAAATGCACATGAAGAAAGATGGTCTTGTTGAAATACTGGCGTGAAGACTGCACAGTGGGAACGTGAAATCTGGGATGGTTCTTATCACACAGGAAGACAAAAAACAGAGCAGAGCGGGCAGGAAACCCAGCTAGTGCCAAGTCAAGTCAATCCACCCTCGCTGCTGGCAGCCTCTCAATAAAGCGGTAAACGCAAAACTTTCACTTCTCATCCACCTGGACTGACTGGGCTTAGAGTAAAAGCATTAAGTAAGCTGGAATCCTGGGAGCTTTGCACCTGACCCTGTGAGAATTCCACAGCCCCAGGGGGTGAGGGGCAGACCAGTGCTATCACTTGGATATATGGACACTCCGCAAGTGTCCCCACTGCATCCTCCACCAGGCCAGCTGGGCAGATGGCACAGGCCAAGTTCAAGAGGAGATGAAGCTGAGGGGCAGACAGGGGCTGGCTGAGAGATTTGGAGGCCATGGTGAGGAGTCTGGCGGGATGGAAGCCACTGGGCAGTCTGAAGCAGAGTGACACAATTGATCCATTTTTCTAAAAGCTAAGCCCATTCCACGGAGCATGGATTGCAGTGCAAGGGCAGAAGCATGGGGCCCAGGTGGGAGGCCAGAGAAATGATGGTGCCCTGGGCCAGGACAATGGCAGTGGAAAGGGAGTGTCAGGGGACATGGTATACTCTGAGATGTGGCTGGACGTGGGGAGTGAGAACAGGGGCATCGCCGGCTTGGGAACCCGGCGAGGTGGTGCAGCGTGGCTAAGCTGTCAGTCTGACACCACGGCGCAGATGGCACAGGGGCTTTGGAAGCCGCTCCACAGCTGCTGGCGCAGCTATGCCCAGGTGTTTAAAGAGGCCACACAGCCACAGTCAGCATCAGACGGCCGTGCTAGGCCATCAGGGCTGAAGGACAACTCTGGGGCAGCAGCCATGGCCAGGGCAGCCCACCCCCACTTCTCCCCCGACTGCCCTGGGTATCCCCATCTCCCCGCTTAGCCCCGCCCTCACGCACCTGATTGTGCTTGGCAATGGCCTCATAGGAGCGCCGCATGGCCCAGAAGGCCTTGGCTTTCTCCCGCAGCGCGTGCTCCATGTTCCTGCACTTGGCCTGCCAAGAGGGATGAGAAGGAGGCGGGGAGGCAGGTTAGGGCGGAGGCAGGGCAGGGAGGCAACACACCACATTACAGCTGGAGCTGCACATCGACGCAGGTATCACTCAACCACATTTACTGAACTAGGTCCGACCTCATGCTGCGGGACACAGCCCTGACCTTGAACCTGAGGTCCTATGACAGAGAGGATCTCAGATAGCCTCTAACCCAGCCCCTTTGTTTTCAATTAAACTTTGTATTTTGAGATTATTGTAGATTCACATAGGAAATAATGCAGAGAGGTCACATGTACCCTTCACCCAGTTTCCCCCAGTGGGAACATCCTATAAAACCATTGTCTATCACACCTCCAGGATACTGACATTAATACAATTAGCTACTCTTACTCAGATTTCCCCAGTTTTACTTGCGTGTGTGTGTATTTCTATGTAATTTTATCACATGCAGGTCTGCGTGTCTACCACCACAGGTGAGATACACAACAGTCCAGTTACCACAAAGATCCCTCTTGTTGCCTGGTTATAATCATGCCCATCTTTCTTTTCAAGATTGTTATATAAGTGGCACCACGCAGTATATACCCTTGAGGGATCATCTTTTGTGGCTCAGCATCATTCTCTGGAGGTTCAGCCAGCTTGTGTGTCTATCCATAGTTCTTTCTTTTTTATTGTTGAGTAGCATTCCATGGTATGGATTTTTGTTTTTGTTTTTGCTTTTTTAAACTGAAGTATAGTCAGTTTACAATGTGTCAATTTCTGGTGTACAGCATAATGTCTCACTCATATAAATACATACATATATTCATTTTCATACTCTTTTTCATTATAGGTTACTGCAAGGCATTGAATATAGTTCCCTGTGCTCTATAGTACAAACTTGTTGTTTAGCTATTTTATATATAGTAGTTAGTATCTGCAAATCTCAAACCCCCAATTTAACCCTTCCCATCCCTTTCCCCTCCGGTAACCATGTTTGTTTTCTATGTCAGTGAGTCTGTTTCTGTTTTGTAAGTAAGTTCATTTGTGTCTTTTTAGATTCCACATATAGGTGATATCATATGGTATTTTCCGTTCTCTTTCTGACCAGCCCCTTCGTTTTGTAACTGACACAGATGGGGAGACAGGGCTGAGGAGGTAAAGGGACCTGTTCCCTCCTAGGCTGGTCCCAGGGCAGCACCGAAGGGCATCCTGCTCAGCCCGCAGCTGGTGCAGGCTGGGCTGTGAACCAGAGCTCCGTGCCCAACCGTAAAGACTGCTCACAGGCTCCCTTCGCGACTTTCTGAGCTGAACTGGTCTGCAGTCACGGAAGAACAGATCTGATCATGAGGTTGACCCAGTTCTTCCCAGAGGGCCTTATCTAAACCACAGTCGTCCCTTGGTAACTGAGGAAGACTCCGTGGATACCAAAGTCCAAGGATGCTAAAGTCCCTTATATAAAAATGGCACAGTATTTGTGTAAAATGCTACACAAGTAGTTTAAGTACAGTGTAAGTGCTATGTAGATAGTTGCTAGAGTGGCAAATTCAAGTTTCATTTTTTGGAACTTGCTGGATTTTTTCCCTGAGTATCTTTGACTCCCCCCTTAGTTAAATCAACAGACGTGGAACCTCCAGCTACAGAGGGCCGACTGTACATGTCCCCCCACCTCCCTGCCTTATTCCAATATTCTAGTAGTGCTTGGATCGTGCAAAATACTTTAACCAGCAGATTCAAATATTTCTGGTTTAGTTTTTTAAACGTTTACCATTGTTCTGATCTCCTTGGACTCCTAGAGGAAACACTGCTAGTTTTGGGTTGGAGTCCAACCTTTTGTATCCTAGGCCAAGCATTTGCTTTCCATCTTTTATTCTTTTCTCTCTACATTCTGAGAAAGCTTTTCAAGTTTTTTCCCCCCTTTGGAAAAATAACAATTCTAATAGTATGTTATAAATGACTACCAAATATCGAGCATTTACTATGTGCCAGGGACTATGCTAATTTCTTTACAAATTACATCACATAATCATCACATTATCCCTAATAGGAAATAATTTTATTAGCCCCATTTTACAGATGAATAAAACTGAAGCACAGAAAGGGGAAGCAACTAGCCCAAGGGCACACAGCTAGCATGTGCAGAGCAAGGACGTAGACCCAGACAGTGGTGGCAAGCAGCCCCTAAGACAGGCCCCAGTGATCTTCTCTCCTGTGAAATAAGAAAGTTGTTGTTTTAAGCTGCTAGATTTGGGGAATGATTTGTTATACACACTTGTCCTCAAAAGCCTCATCCCCACCGGGGCCTGATTTAGATGATGAGATTCTGGACTTTGAGCTGATGCTATAATGGGATAAGATATTTGGGGAACCTGGGAGGGGGTGAGTGTACACCGCATGTGGGAGGGACATCAATCACTGGGGCCAGAGGGCCACTGAGGGAGGCAGACTCTAAAATGGCCCCACCTCCTGGTACTCAGGCCCTGGTGGAATCCCCTCCCGAGGGGCTGGACCTAGCCGCTTGCTTCTAACCAACAGAATATGGCAGAAGTGATATATTCTTTTCTGTCTTGCTTTTGTAACATGAGGTTTGCAGGATTCAAATACATAATTGTGTGAGTTTACCCATTCGTTGTCGCATTGTATCTCACCATATAAACATACTATAATCAAGCATCCATTCCACTGTTAATGGGCAGCTGGGTCATTCACAATCTTTGAGTAACACAAGTAGTATGAATATTCTTGTTCCGGTCTCCTGGTGCACAAGTGCACCGGCTCTTCTACAAAACATTCCTAGGGGTAGAATTGCTGGGTCACAGGAATGTGTATCTTCAACTTTAGTAGATAAAATGCCAAACTTTTTTCCAAAGCAGGTGTACCAATTTATACCACAGAAGCCACAATAATGAAAAATGTTTATTAACCATTTGGATCTTTATTTTAAAATACCTGTTACTAAAGTCTTTTGACCTTTTTTCTATTGAGCTGCCTGCCATCTTCCTACTGGTGTGTAAGGATTTATTACAAACACACAACATGTCTTTTACGGATCTTATGTATAATAAGTATCTTCTATCCTCTTGCTAACATTTCTTAATTTCAGTGTAGTCCAATGTATCAGTATTTTCCTCTGGAATTAGGGCTTGTTGGTTTTGTTTAAAAAATACCTCCTTACCCTGAGGTCATAAAGTTAATTTCCTATATAATTTTTTTTTCAAAGCTTTATGACTTTCCTTTCACATTTGGGTCTAGAGCAGATACCTGAAGTTTATTTTGTGAATGGTGTGACCAGGCCACTTGTTGTCCCAGAACCACCACTTAAGAACACTGCCATTCCCCACTGGTCTGAAGGCCACCTCTGTTATTCATCACATACACATCTGGGTCTCGGTTCCCCCATCTGTTTACCCTTATTCTTACCAGTATCACAGTCTTAATTTCAGGAACTATAACACAAACTGACATCTAATAAATAGCTCCTAGGAATGCTTTGGCAATTCTTGGCCCTTTGAACTTGCATGTAAATTTTAAAATTAGTTTGCCAAATTCCACAAAATAATCATGTTGGGGTTCTGACTGGGATAGAACTAACTCTACAGATCAGTTTGGAGATAACTGACATCTTTAGATACTGCCTTCTAGTCCATGAATATGGTATATCTTGCCACTTGGTCTCCTTTAATGTCATTCAACAAAGGTTTATATTATTACCGGCCAGAGATCTGCACACCTTTTGTCACACTTATTCCCAGATACCTGATTTTTTATACTATTGTTAAGTGTTTTTTTCATTTTCTATTTGCTATTGATATACAGAAATACAATTGATTTTTACTCTTTATTTTGCAACCAGCATTCTGTCTAAACTCATTTATGTAACTATAATTATCTGTAGCACCTTTTTATTTTCTATGCAACAGAAACTTCTATACAGATGCAATCATACTGTCTGCATACAATACCTGTGTTGCTTCCTTCTTTCCAAACCTTATGCCTTTTATTCCTGACTTACTTTATTAGCTAGGATCTCCAATACAAAACTGAATAGAAGTGGTCATAATAGGCATTCCTGCCTTTTTCTTGATCTCTGTAAGACAATGCTAAACGTTTCACCATTAAATACAGTATTTGCTATAAGTTTTCTGGTAGATTAATGAAGCTACTTTTATTCCTAGTTTGCTAACTTTTTTCAATCACAGGATACTGAATTTTATCAAATGCATTTTTACTCTAATGACTTCATCACATTTAAGTGGCACAGAACTGGATTTTGTTTTCTTACGCAGTCGGACAGCTGTTGTCATTTAGCTGGAGTATTCAATGTAATTGCCACTACAGCTGCATTTTTGTTTACCTTCTCTTCTGTGCCATTTGTCCTGCTTGCTCAATATATCTTTTTCTCCCTTTCTTGCCTTTTTAAAGATTTACTATGCATTTTTTATTCCACTTTTCCCCCTTGTATACATTTAGTGGTTAACCTACAAACTACTACAGGTAAAAAGTATGAATTCAAAGGACTCTAAACAATGTATTTTTCATGGTTGCTTCTGATATTCTGATTTTAACACTAAACATACTTGTGTCACAACTGGACCCACCATTCAGGGCCCTGCATGGAATCCAAGGAGTACCTGACATAGCAGAGATGGCTGGGTCACTAGTGGGGGCTCTGGTGCGAAGCTTAATCCAGACAAACATGGGGTCACCACTGCCCTGGATGGAGTTAAGTGGCCCATGACACGTTTGGAGCATCACCCAGGCCCCAGGCCCAGCTAAAGAGCACTGATTTTGGCTTCAAATTATAACATTCAAGTGCGGGAGCACATTCCCGGGTTAATAAGTTGCAGGGCTGCAATGCAGAAAATCGCTAAAAAACAGCAAGACACACCTTGCTTATCTTAGCGTAGGCTGTTAGCTGTAGGGCTGCTTCTGCTTCTTGGAAAAACATTACCTTCTACCCTTGCTGAAAAGAGCAGGGCATTCTTCGCTTATCTAGCTAGATCTTGATGCTTATGGGGCCTTCATACCTGCCGGGTTTCCATTGTGATTGTATACTCCCTAAACATTGTAAACTTCTCCCTGAACATACGCATTAAGACTAATGTTTCTGCTTTTCACAAAACTGCTGATCTGCATGCCTGCAGGTACACCATGCCCCTTACACGGTCCTATGATGTGTTTTACCTCCATCCTTTGTCTGACTGTTCTCAATAAATACAAGAGCTTTGGGGAGTTGGAGCTGGTCTCCCTCTCACTCTCTTGACTTGATAAAGTCTCCAGTAATTCATTCATTGGACAAAGCCGGCATTCAAGACATTCAAGATTACCTAAATTATAAACACACACAAAATAGGAAGTTTTTATTTACACTAAAGGATTCAGAATGTGATTATATAGTCTAGTTTTCTTTTTAAATTACAATTTGATTCCTTAAGCAGCAAATTAACGCCCTAAGAATTTTACAAAATTGTTTATCCAAAATATCTGTGAGTACAAGTGTTATGTGATGTAACAGAAAATGGAAAGGGTGCAAGGAAGAGAATAAGTATTATTTCCCAAAATTGTCACACCACCCTTTCAAGTACTTATCAAAGTGCTAGAGTGATACCTGCAGCCAGGGCTGTCCGGCCCAAGCCAGGTTTTCTGGCCTTTGAGGTCCTATATGCACTCCTGCTTCTGACCAGGTACCACCTGCTTCACC